AAAAAAAAAAAAAAAAGAAATAATTATTGGCTCGGCTCCTGTAGGTCAAGCTGCTAAGGCGCCAGCCACATACACCAGAGCTGGTGGGTTTGAATCCAGCCCAGGTTTACGAAACAACAATGACAATTACAACCAAAAAATAGCCAGGCGTTGTGGCAGGCGCCTATAGTCCCAGCTGCTTGGGAGGCTGAGGCAAGAGAATCGCTTAAGCCCAGGAGTTAGAGGTTGCTGTGAGCTGTGATGTCATGGCATTCTACCCAGGGTGACAGCTTGAGGCTCTGCCTAAAAAAAAAAAATTCTTAAAAAAGAAAAAATTATTGAATATTTAGGTGCTTAGGATGTATCTGTGAACAAAATAGACAATAATGCCATTGTTATTGAGCTTACAAAGTAGTAGGGGTAAAGAGATAATAAAGTGAACATATTAAACAAATAATATGTTAAAATGTAAGCATTTTGGAAAAATTAGAAGTAGAATAGGTTGGGGGGAATGGAAGTAGAGGGTACAGATTACAGATGGGTTGTGATTTTATTTTATTTTATGATATTTATTTATTTAGAGACAGAGTCTCACTCTGTTGCCCAGACTAGGGTACCACGGCATCGTTCTAGCTCACAGCAACCTCAAACTCCTGGGTACAGGTGATCGATCCTCCTGGGTCAGCCTCCTGAGTAGCTAGGACTACAGGTGTCCACCATAACACTAGGCTAATTTTTCTATCTTTTAGTAGAGAGGGGGCTCTTGCTCTTGCTCAGGCTGGGTGCTTAATAGTTGTGTGTCTTTCTTTTTTTTTTATTTATTATTTTATTTTATTTTTGAGACAGAGCCTCAAGCTGTCTCCCTGGGTAGAGTGCTGTGGCATCACAGCTTACAGCAACCTCCAACTCCTGGGCTCAAGCGAGTCTCCTGCCTCCACGTCCCAAGTGGCTGGGACAACAGATGCCCGCCACAATGCCCAGCTATTTTTTGGTTGCAGCCATTATTGTCGTTTTGGCGGGCCTGGGCTGGATTCGAACCCGCCACGTCAGGTGTATGTGGCTGGTGCCTTAGCCACTTGAGCCACGGGTGCTGAGCCAGTTGTGTGTCTTTCTAGGGTACATGCAATATTTTGATACAGGCCTGTAATGTGAATTAATCAAATCATGATAATTGGGGTATTCATCACTTCAGACATTTAACTTTTTTTGTATTAGCAACATTCCAATTCCACTCTTTTAGTTACTTTAATGTATACCGGAATGTATTGTTGATTATAGTTACTTTGTTATACTATCAAACATTATTCATTTTATATCTAACTATATTTTTGCACCCATTAACCACTGCCACTTTATCCCCTCTTCCCCACTACCGTTCCCAGCCTCTGGTAACCATCATTCTACTCTCTGTCTCCATGAGAGAAATTTTTTTTTTTTTTTTTTTTGAGACAAAGTCTTACTTAGTTGCCCTCAGTAGAGTGCTGTGGTATCACAGCTCACAACAACCTCAAACTCTTGGGCTTAAGCAATTCTCTTGCCTCAGCCTCCCAAGTAGCTGGGACTATAGGTGCCCACCACAACACCTGGCTATTTTTTTGTTGTAGTTGTCATTATTGTTTAACAGGCCTGGGCCAGGTTCAAACCCACCAGCCCCAGTGTATGTGGCTGGCTGGCCACTGAGCTACAAGGTGCTGAGCCAGCAATTTTTCTTTTTTTTTTTTTAATATTTAGTTCTCATAGGCCTGGCGTGGTGGCTCATGCCTGTAATCCTTGTACTCTGGCAGGCCGAGGCAGGTGGATAGCTTGATTTCATGAGTTCAAGACCAGCCTGAGCAAAAGCAAGACCTTGTCTCTACTAAAAATGGAAAAACTGAGGCAAGAGGATTACTTGAGCCCAGGAGTTGGAGGTTGCTGTGAGCCATGATGCCGTGGCACTCTACCCAGGGCAACAGCTTGAGACTCTGTCTAAAAAAAAAATTTGTTCTCATGTATGAGTGAAAACACATGAAATTTGTCTTTCTGTGCTTGGCTTATTTTACTTTAGTGTTCTCTGGTTCTTCTATATTGTTGCAAATGGGAGGATTTCATTCTTTTCTTTCTTTGGGGGGGGACAGAGCCTCAAGCTATCACCCTGGGTAGAACGCCACAGCTCACAGCAACCTCCAACTCCTGGGCTCAAGCGATCCTCTTATCTCAGTCTCCCAAGTAGCTGGGACTACAGGCGTGGACCACCACATTCAGCTAATTTTTCTATTTTTTATTTTTCAAGAGAGTCTCACTTTGTTACCCTTGGTGGAGTGTGGTGGCATCATAGCTCACATCAAGCTCAAACTCTTGGGCTTAAGTGATCCTCATGCCTCAGCCTCCAGAGTAGCTGGGACTATAGGCACCTGCTATGATGCTCAGCTAGTTTTTCTATTTTAGTAGAGAGAGGTCTCACTCTTGCTCAGGCTGGTCTCTAACTCCTGAGCTCAAGCAATCCACCCACCTCTGCCTCCCAGAGTGCTGGGATTACAGGTGTGAGTTACCGGGCTGGCCCTGTGTATATTTCACTTTCTATAGTGGTTACACTAATTTACATTCCTATCAACAGTATACAAATGTTCCTTCCCTTTTCTGCACATCCTCACCAGCATTCGTTGTTGCCTGTCTTTTTGATAAGAGCCTTCATTCTATCACCAGGGTTTCTTTTTTTTTTTTGAGACAGAGTCTCAAGCTGTTGCCCGGGGTAGAGTACCATGGCATCATAGCTCACAGCAACCTCCAATTCCTGGGCTCAAGTGATTCTCCTGCCTCTGCCTCCCAAGTGGATGGGACTACAGGCGCCTGCCACAACACCCGGCTATTTTTTGGTTGCAGCTGTCATTGTTGTTTGGTGGGCCTGGGCTAGATTCAAACCCGCCAGCTCAGGTGTATGTGGCTAGCACCTTAGCCGCTTGAGCCAAGTACTGAGCCTATCACCAGGGTTTCTTGATGAACTTGATGTGGGAGGAAAGAGTTAAGGATAACATACTGAGGATGATCAAGGTTGGAAGTATCTAAGATTGGAATTTGGGAGTAATTTGATCCTTATTACCTATGTCCAAGGTTTAGAGTTTGGCCAGGGCTGGAAAGAGACTATTGAAAGAACTACTGTATCTTATAAATATTTTTGAAACCATAAAATTTCTCCTTTCAGCTAGGGGTAGTGGCACATGCCTGTAATCCCCAGCCATTTAGGAGGCTGAGATGGGAGGATCCCTTGAGTCCAGGAGTTTGAGTCCAATCTGGACAACATAGTGAGACCTCATCTCTAAAAAAAAAAAAGAAATATTTTTTTCCTTTCACTTACAGTAGACCAAGTCGACAAATGGTATCTTCAGAAGCTTATGAAGACGAGTTTAAAACAAATGAAGCAGAAGAGGGTGTAGATGATTTCAAATCCATTGATACCAAAGAGGAGACAATAGGAGTATCAAAAACAGAAGAGATATCATCAAAAGAAAAACAATACCCGCTTTCCTCTTCTTCCTCCTCCATATCTTCCTCTTCTTCCTCCTCTTCTGAATCCAGATATACTGAACTGATTGGTGAGTAGAAGAGTTTCTTCTTTCTTCTTCCTCTTTATGAGACATCCCAATCTTAAAAGGAGCTTTCCTATTTTATCTACTTTCCAATTTTCTCTATCACTCTGATTTTCTGGTCTTTTTTTTTTTTTTTGTGCTTCTTAATTTCTCCCTGTATTTCTCCTTCACCTTGGATAAATGTGGCTGTGGCTCTCTCTGTTCATTGTAAAAAATAATCTATTGGTGGGGAGGCGCCTGTGGCTCAAAGGCCCTATGTGCCGGAGGTGGCAGGTTCAAACCCAGCCCTGGCTAAAAACTGCAAAAAAAAAGAATCTCTTGGTGATGTACTCTTTTTTTTTTTTTTAGAGACAGTTTCACCTTGTCACCATGGGTAGAGTACTATGGCGTCACAGCTCACAGCAACCTCCAACTCCTGGGCTTAGGCGATTCTCCTGCCTTAGCCTCCCAAGTAGCTGGGACTACAGGCACCCACCACAACTCCCAGCTATTCTTTTGTTGCTGTTTGGCCGGGGTCAGGTTCAAACCCCCCACCCTCGGCATATGGGGCCGGTGCCCTACCCACTGGACCATAGACACCACCCAGTGATGTACTCTTTTGCCTCCCTGCTTCCTGTTTCCTCTTCCATCCCCATGTTCCCACCCACACCATAGGATTTTTCATCTCTTACCAAACTTCACCTAATATCCACATGTTTTAATGAAGCATTCCTTCCTACAGAGAAATTGGACTGGGAAACTCTTGTGCACCAGAATCTGCCTGGGTTAATGGAAATGGATCAAGATGACCGTGTTGTTTGGCCCAGAGATTCACTCTTCCGCTATTTTGAGTTGCTAGAAAAGCTTCAGTATAACCTAGAAGAGCGTAAGAAGTTGCAGGAGTTTGCAGGTATGAAGTTAAGGCAGCCATGGGGGCTTGGAGTTAAGTACATGGAGAAAAACTGTGTGGACATACAGTTCGTGTACAATTTAAAATAGTTTAACATGGTAAATTGCACACGAACTTTATGGACATCATATATATATATATATATATACACACACACACACACACACATGCATATATCATAGCTAACTGAGGGAGAAGGAAGAAGGTGTCCATTACTCTGTCATCTCAGGTTCTCAATTTCTGCCTCACAGATAAAGGCAAATTCTTTGATACCTCACATTCTGGATCAGTGTTCCAACACTTAGAAAAAAACTGGAAACTGCTTCTCCAGCAGGGGACGCCCAAGTTCCCTGAGATCTGGGAGCTTAGGACAATGTGGGCCATTGCTTTGTTTGGGCAGCCAACCCTTCCGTACATGTTCCTTCTCTTTGAAGGCCACATTTCAGATTTGAATAGCAGGGCCTTAGGCTCAAGTTGTACAGCTGCGGGGATCAAGACAGGGAGCAGAAAGCCCACAAGCACCCACTGCCCCAGCCCCCAAAGAGATTTATGAATTACAAATTCTCTTCCTTTCATCTCTCCTAGTCTTAGCCTCAATGGAGAGAAGTATGTATATGATTTAAATAGTTTGATGTAAGCTCAGAACTGTTTGCTAGACATTATTTCCCCTAAATTTTACCACTTAGAGATTACTTCGGATTAATAAAATTTTCCTTTAAAAGTAACAAAATAAAACAAACAAGAATTAGGGGCATTTTTTTTTTAACAGTTTAATATGGATTGGTGTTACCTTATATCTGGTTGAAAGACTATGGATTAGTCTTCCTTACATCTGGTTGAAATCAACTCAGTGAGAGAATAATGGAATTAGGGAGGAAGACTCTGTGTGTGTGTGTGTGTGTGTGTGTGTGTGTGTGTACAGTGGGCAAAGGTAGGCAATAAGGAATTTATAACATAGGAACCTAGAATTTAGTGCAGGATGTCAAAGACAGATTTTTCTTACTTCAAAATGTTGCCTAAGGTTCATCTTTCTCCTTCTAATTACTCTCAGTCCTGCTTTCCCAATTGTTCTCTGGGAACAGGGTGAAAGGGAGGAGACTGTAGCAAGGGAGGACACAGCTTCTTTAATCCCACTTATCTTATCTATGGCAAAGAGTACACAGAGACTTACCTGGCTTCACTTAGTAAAGATTTGCGTGGGAACCTAGAACCCAGAAAAGCGGGTCCTAACCAGACATTTTTATGTTCTGAATATTCTCAATTCTCCAGCCTCACAGTCTGTTTCCTTTATAGTGCAGGCACTGATGAACTTTGAAGATAAGGAAAGTTGATGATGGATGGCTTCAATCTCTTTGACCCCAGCAAAAGATAATGAAGGGAGTAGCTGGAAATAAAGAATTAAAAATATAAGTGTCTAATAAATACTGCTGGTAGTTGTTCTGTGGTCTGTCTCTGAGGGAGAATATACTGAAAGACATAAGGCCAGTGGAGCCTGTCTGTGCCCTTGGCTTTCTACTCTTTCCACAGCTCCTGAGTCTGACTCTTTTCTTGACTTTTATCATTTCAGCTCCCACCCTTTCTGTAGCCTCTACGTCCTGATAGAGTAATTTCACACTCTCCCTCCCTGATGAGTAGGCAGAGTCCTCTGTGGGAGTAAGGAGATCCTCAGAGCTGTTAGTGTAACAAATTGAGAAGTATTATTTCCATTGCCCATTCTACTAAGGTTGCTTCTCTTTTGCACCATTAACTTTAATTGGACTTCATTTTTACCTGTTTCAGAGCCAAAAGAGTCCTTTTATTCCATTTCTTTGCCATTTTTCAGGGCTGCGTTCATATCAATAAGGGTCCCACAGAGTTTTAGTATTAGAAGAGAACTCAGAATTAATCTATCTCTGCTATCTAACATAGCAGGAACTCCTTTAGAATGCCACTGAACACTGAGAGGCTGAGGTGAGTGGACCACTTGAGCTCAGGAGTTTGAGACCAGCCTAAGCAAGAGAGAGACCTCGCATTTAAAAATATCTGGGCACTGTGGCTGGAGCCTATAGTCTCAGCTACTCAGGAGGCTGAGGCAAGAGAATCACTTGAGCCTGAGAGTTTGAGGTTGCTGTGAGCTGTGACACCATGGCACTCTACCAAGGGCAACAAAGTAAGACTCTGTCTCAAAAAAAAGAAAAAAGAAAGAAAAGAGTTCCACTGAAAGGAAGATTATCTAGCTGATGTTCATTGTTTCTAGTTATTGGGGATTTTTTATCTGGAAGGTAGGATAACTCAAGTCTTTAGAAATATTTACTATTAAAAATTCTAGGCTCGGCACCTATAGCTCAACGGGCTAAGGCGCCAGCCACGTACACCTAAGGTGGCGGGTTCGAATCCCCAGCCCGGACCCGCCAAACAACAATGACGGCTGCAACCAAAAA